CGACAATGACGGTGCCTTCCCAAGTGTAACCACTAGATCTTCTGCAACTATGTTCGTGAAGGCGGTGACTGGTTTGACGGATGCCAAAAAACGTGCAGTTCGTGAAATGGGCCTGGGCAGTTTGTTGGATCTGGCAATAACAAGTGCTCCGTCCAAGATGGGCTTCTGGTTGGTGGAAAATTTCAATCACATGGACCGTAAACTTCAGTTGTACGGTGGTGAAAAGGTGCATGTTAAGGAATACGACGTTCACGCCGTTCTTGGACTGCCTCATGGAGAGATCGAAATATCAAATAAGAAGAAGAGAGCTTCATCTACGTTGCTTGACGAGTGGATTCGAATGTTTGATGTGAGAAACACGTCAAATATAACGACATCAAAGGTATTAGAGAAAATGGACACGTGTGTTGACGGTGATGATTGGTTTAAGAGACACTTCATCGTCCTTATGGTGTCATGCTTATTCGAGAGCTGCCTAAATGGCATGGCGAACTTCCGCTTGTTACATGCCTTTGCTGACTTGTCAACGGTCAGCAAGATTAATTGGTGCTCGTATATGATCCAGTGCTTGGTCGACACGAAGAGAGCGTGGGAATCAAACGGCAAAAAAAACAAGTACTCGGGGCCCTTGCTATTTTTGACGGTCAGTCATTATGTCGTTAACCTTTATGCTTTCATCTATTATTATAAATTTGTACATCTGATACATGCCTGACGACGTGATGGGTTGCTTTATTTATGGACTATGTAACTGTTTATGTTCAATACCATTTTCTATTCCTTGTCTGATGTTTATTTATTTATTTTATTATTATTATCGTGTTTTTTTTTCTTATTTATGCAGCTGTTCTACGTAGACAGAGTAGTCTTGTCTGTGAGATCGGTTCCAAGAACGTTCCCGACGTTTATTTCATGGAGTAATGTGTCGCTACGGGCCAGAGAACGTGACGAGATCTCTTCTGGAGCGTTTGGTAGGGGTTTCGTTGACACAGAATTGTGCTTGCTAGCCGATAGTCGCCAGTTGGATAAGACTGTTCCCAAAACATACGACAATGACGCTGGATGCTCGGAGGGACACAACATACAGGTACACTGAATATTTAATGTGCAATGTATTATGTGCATTTGTGCAATGTGATTATAATTAATGTGCATAGTCAATGTGCAGTTTTGTCACAATTGCCATATTGTTGATCTTGAATTTTATTCGTGTTTTTTCATTTGCTTGGTTGCAGCACAATGGTGATGTTTGTTTTTATTGGCTTTCTTTGTTTTGTTTTTTGTTTTTTTTTTATGTATACATCGATACTTTTCTATCCTTTTGTGTTTGTTGTTTCACGTATGTAAGTGCGTGCATTTTTCGATGTAGTAATGTGCAATATCGTAAACACTAATTTGCATATATTGGTAGCAATTCTTTTTTAATATACGAATTATTAATTCGCATTACATTTAGTTTATTCATTAATATTAATAATTGTACTGCTATTGCATTCAGATATGTAAGATTTGTTGGTGTTATACCTGAAATCTCATTTGTAGGATTATGTGCAAGAATTTGCATCTAAAACTCTCCTGCTCGCCACAACCGGAACTGAAATACTATGGCTAGTTGAAAAGGCGCCGCAAATTTTACTTGGAGATGACAATTTCGTGAAAATGCGTGATGTTGTTTGGATATTGCTTGGGGTGTATATCGAAGTACCTCAGTCTGAAAAGATTGATGTAACTAAGGATAATACCAACTGTGCCCCATCTCAGACCGTTGACGATGCTTTTTGGAATGACCCTAAGACGTTAGCGGCGATTGATGAAATCTTTAGGGCGGTCAAACAACGGGACTGTTTCCGGGTTGCAACGCGAGGGTTATCCTAGTTATAGCTTGGGATTCTCATCGGATGATGATGTTGCTGACGACCCCCCTCGAGATGCGAGTGGTGCGGATGTGAATCCCGGCCATGATATAGATGCACCCACGGTTTTAGTAGACGTGCCAAAAGGTACGTGATTACATTTAAGTACATTATATGGTATAGTTGCAATTGGCCTCTTTGTTTTTTTTATTTTTGATATGTTATTGTTATAATCATATATGAAGAAGGCGTTGACGTTTCATCTGATAAAACGACGACTGTTGTAGAAGGCGGTCTTCCAATTGGGGCTGATTTACATGTCGTCCCGACGGTTAATGAAGTTCGCGGAGTGCAAACTGGTGCTGAATGCGCTGTTTTACCATCCAGCCCTATGATCGATGAAGAACATGGACTGAAATCTCAGGCTGGTGCTGCTGTTTTGACTGTCACCCCGATGGTTGATGAAGAACGTGGACTAATAACAGGTGAGTGTGTAACCAATACGATACGTAATAGTTGTGTGTGTATATATATATGTGTACATATTATAATTTTATTTTTTTTTCTGCACACATTATTATTATCTCTTATTTTTCTTTC